CTTTACATTTTTATTTCAATGTTGTAATTAGCAATTCATGTAATTGTATCTTTTGAAGCAGATTTGTTATGTGACAGCATTAATTAAAGTTTCTTAAGGGTCAAGATCAAGTTATCAGCATCTCCTGCGCTCCATCAAGCCACTCCCAAAATATCTGTCAGCACTCAAATGAATGCACGACTCAGATTAACTCTATAGCATGTGTAAGACTCTAATACAATTATAAAGTAATTATTTTAGCAGGTTTAAGTTTACGGACCTATTGCTATGACAGCAAGTCCAGGATGAGCTTCGAAGAACCAAATAATCCAAGATCATGCCAAATCGTCAACAATCAAATCCAGCTAACTGAGTTAGCGACGTACGAAGAACGGGCCCCAATTGAAATAGCGTCAAACTCAATTGAACTTAATTACCAAACCAAGTAACTTGTAGTTTTATGTTTCAACCACTAAAGGGTAACATTGTAGCTTTAACATAAATAGTATTTAATATACCTACTATTGTTAATTCATGTTCATTCATAATACATCAAAAACAACCTGAAACGTTGAAGCATATTAATAAAGAATTTAACATTAGCCTAGAAAATTCTATAAAATAGTTACTGTTAGGTCATGATTCCAAATGATTTACCTAATGTTAATAAGTTGAACTTTATTGTAAAATGTTACCAAATTATGAATTCAGAAAGCATTCCTGTATTAATCCATTACATAATAAAACAGTTTGTATGCACACACAGTCTCGGCTGCAATAGGGTGATACCTGAAAAACAAACCTCTAGAAAATGCGATTGTTTTCCCACCTCTTTGTTTTATTAATATGCAGCCTGGTACCACACTTTCTGTTCTGTCTCTGGAATAACAAGAATTTTCTACTCTCACTCTCCTCTTCTGATAAGAACAGTGTTGGGCTAAATTTTGACACAATAATTCAAGGTTCTATGCTGTCAAGCCTTCACTGACAGACAAACCTAAATACAACAAGATTCACATCACACTGACCTTTATTTAAAATGAGACGCCAAAACAAAAAGCTGTTTAGTTATGCAGCAAGATGTTCTTATGACTCAAGTGTTTTCTATTTCTCCCCCCCCCCCCCCCCCCCCCCCCCCCCCCACTCTGGCCCCGCCACCGAACCC